ATCTAAAAAATAAAATTAAGGGGTGAGAGAGGATTAGACTGGGAGGAGAAAGAGAGAGGTAGAATGGGGCAAATTATCTCACATAAAACAGACAAGAAAAACCTTTTACAGTGGAGGGGAAGTGGGGGAAGATGAGAGGGAATGAGTGAATCTTACTCTCACCAGATTTAGCTTAAGGTGGAAATAACATACGTACTCAATTGAATATGGAAATCTATCTTACCCTATAGGAAAATAGGGAGGAAGGGGATAAGGGGGGGGGAATGATAGAGGGGAGGGCAGATTGGGGGAGGGGTAATCAGAAGCAAACACTTCTGAGGAGGGACAGGGTAAATAGAGGGAATAAATGGGAGGTGGGATAGGATGAAAGGAAATATAGTTAGTTTTTCACAACATGACTACTATGGAAATATTTTGCATAACTACACATGTATAACCTGTATTGAGTTGCTTGCCTTTTCAATGAGGGTAGCTGGGGAGGAAGGAGGGGAGAGAATTTGGAACCCAAAGCTTTAAAAACAAATGTTAAAAATTGTTTTGACATGCAACTGGGAAATAAGACATACAGGCAATGGGGTACAGTAATCTACCCTGCCCTACAGGAAAATAGAAGGGTAAAGGGATGAGAGAAGGGGTGGTGGTGAGAGAAGGGAGGGCAGATTAGAGGAAGGGGTATTCAGAATGCACAACTTCTTGGGGTGGGCGAGGGGCGAGATGGAGAGAGAATTTGGAACTCAAAATCTTGTGGAAATGAATGTTGAAAACTAAAATAAATAAATAATAAAGAAGAAATGAGGCAGAGACTGGCCTTTTATTTCTTTAAAAAAATCAATCTGGGAGGCTAAGACCCTCAGGGTTTTTGGTCAAAACAGAAACAATAGCTATTTACATTCATTCTGAGCCAGTCAGGGCACAAACAATGATCAAACAGGGCTTGGCCTGGGACCAATTGTTGGCCAATCAATTAAAGCTAGAGTGATTTGGGGTTAAAAAAAAAATTTCAGAGATTAGGATTTACATTCCCTTATGGCAGAGTACCTGCAGGTAAGGTATGTGGCCAGAGGGAAGGGAAAGAAGAGGAGTAAAAGAAAGAAAAGGAAAGAAAGCAAGCCTTGTTGTCAACTGGACAGTTTCAGTTTTGTCCCTAGTGGGCAGCTCACATAGGTTGCTCTGTTTGTCTTTTCTTCTCGAAGAGGACCATGGCATCAGGAAGGTGATGCCAAGACAATCCAATTCACTCCCAGAGTTAGAGACCTCAGAGTCTATCTAATTTATGCCTTCCAAGGATAAGAATCTCCTTCACAATCTGTCTGATAAATGGTGACCTTTGCTTGAAGATTTTTAATGAGAGAAAACCTGTTTCCCAAGGTAGCCCATTCTAGTTTTGGTTATTAGCTTTCACTGTTGGAAAATGTTTCCTACAAGTTTGGCACACAGTATTTAATAAATCCTTGGTTGATTGAGCAACTCTAAATCTGTCTGCAGCACACCATGACAAGTTCTACCATCTGGGGTCAAGCAGAGTAAGTCTATTGCTCTTTCAAATGAAGGGCCTGTTGAGTTTTAGAGTTGGGAGAGCTGGTTCAGGTGTGAAAGAATTCACCTTCTCTGTAACCATTGGGAGCTATATTGCCGAAAAAGCAGTGGGCTAGCTCTGGAAAAGGACTAGCAACTTACAAAGGGGTAGGGGTCTGTTTTATCTCACAAGATGAGGGGAGGGGTTGTCATGACATAGGGTGAGGAAGATGGATGACAGGATAGGAGACCCAGGAAATTTTATGACTCAGGATGAGGGAGACAAGGAATTTTTATGGTCCAAGATAGGGGGGAAGTTTTATGGTATCTCAAGATAAGGGAAAGAGACTCTAGGATGTCCTCCTCTAGGATGCTGGAAAAACAACCCTTCATTAAAATTTGTTTTTTTAAAAAACGTTCAGCTTTTAGGGCACTGTTTGCTTTTACATCAGGCCTTCTCTCCAAATACAAGAAGACAACTACCATGTCTCCCCTAAGTATTCTCTTCACCAGGTTAAACATCCTACTTCCTTAATGGATCTTCCAATGGAATGAACTCAAGGCCTTTCATTTTGCTGGCTACCCTTCTCTGCACATTCTTCAGCATTCTAAGGTCCTCCCTTGTGACATATAAAAAGTTTGAGAGACATAGCTTCTGAGTAATTAATCATTTTATTAATCATGCTGGCATTAATTAATAGTAGGGGTCAATGACACTACTGAATGCCAAAGACCCCCTCATGCAACCCACTCAACACTTATGTGCCCTTGGAAGAGTGGGTGTACCTGAGGGTGGCAATCAACTTTGATTGGTTAACAATTAATTAGAGGAATGATTATTATAATGAGAGATGGACTTATTTTAATGAGGGGCTGGGGGAACCTGATTACTCAGTGTCGGACAAAGAGACTTCTCTCTTTTCTAGACTACCCTGCCTACAGATATCTAGACAAAAATGGGTCCAACTCTGCTCAGACCTGGCTGAGGGAAACTCAATGGGTCGGGATTTCCCTTAGATTAAATTCTTTGTAAGGTTCTTTAGTTAGGTGGGTCAACAATTCCAAGATTTCTTCTCATTATCCACCCTGCCCTATAGAGAACTAAGCTTTGACTTAGTCTCCAAATGAGGAAGGGGAAAAAAATACTGGATCTCTCCAATATTTGGTTAATAATCATTTCTCTCACCCTAAAAAAACAGGATGCTCCAGATGTGGTCTAATTAGGGCAGTGGACAGTTGGACTAACATCTCTGTTCTCCCAGAGACAACCTTTTTTTTTTTTTTTTTTTTTTTGGTGAGGCAATCGGGGTTAAGTGACTTGCCCAGAGTCACACAACTAGTGAGTGTTATGTGTCCGAGGCCAGATTTGAACTCAGGTACTCCTGAATCCAGGGCTGGTGCTCTGTCCACTGTGCCACCTAGCTGCTCCCAGAACCCACCTTTTTAAAGACAGCCTAAGATCACATTGACCTTTTTTTTGACTGGCATGATTATACTGTTGACTCATATTGATCTTGCAATGATTTAAAACCCCATGTTCTATTTTAAAAAAGTTTTTAAACTTAACTGCTTGGCAGCTGATGTCTTCAAGCATCTGGGACTTGTGGACACACACACACATATATATACCTACATATATACACATAATTATATATGTGTATATGTTTATATTTAAGTATATATTTACGTATAATATGTGAAGATATAAAAATAACATATATTATATTTACATTTTGTTCAGTTGTTGCACCCAACTCTTTATGATCCTGTTTGGGGTTTTCTTGGCAAAGATATTGGAGTGGTTTGCCATTTCTTTCTTCAGCTCATTTTACAGATGAGGAAACTGAGGAAAACAGGGTCAAGTGACTTGCCCAGGGTCACATAGCTAGTAAGTGTCTTAGGCCACATTTGAACTCAGGAAAATGAGTTCCTGACTTCAGACCCAGCACTCTATCCACTTCACCATCTAGCTGCATATATATACCTCTCTCTCTCTCTCTCTATATATATGTGTGTGTGTGTGTATGTATACATATATATACATACACACACATGTATATACATATATAGACAGAAACACAAAATAGATAAAAGGATATGGTTTGTCCTATAGTGGGAATTTCAGTCTCCTGGGTCCCTTCCAGAATTCTAAGATTCTGTGACTCTAGTCTGTGGTAATGTTGTTCAGTCCTGTCCCACAGGATTTTCTTGGCAAAGATGATTTATTTGGGGTTGTTGGAAACTCTGAAATGTTAAGATACAGGGCAGTGTCCATCTGGAATGAATTCACACACTCAAACCATCTTCCAGTCAGTGGCAAAGTTTATTGTAATACCAGTAAAAACAGGCAGGATTTCTAGAGAACCCGAAACTTAATGGGGGTGGGGTGGTGTGAGATGAGACTGATGCAAACTGATGATACAAAAGGGACAGTAAAAAGAATCTGGATGGGATCAAGGAGTGGGAAATAGTCTGGGGTGGGCCTGGTGCAAATAATGAAAGGAATATCAAGTAGGCAAATTAGGTGACCTAGATGGGATTAAGGAGTGGTCAGTGTATGCACATAGTCTGGGGTGAGCCAAGAGACCAGTGAAAAGATGTCAAGTACGCTAATTGGTGAATCTAGGTGGGCTGCTGAAATGTATGGGAAAATTCAGGTCCTGGGTTGCTTTCAAAGACACTGTCTTTTCCTTTTAGGGTTCCAGGTCCCATCCACCCCATCAAAGATACTGAACTGGTTTGCCATTTTCTTCTCTAGTGTGTCCCCATTTGACAGATGAGGAACTGAGGCTAACGGTTAAGTGACTTGCCCAGGATCGGTCATACAGTTAATAAGCGTTTGAGGCCGAATTTGAACTCAGACCTTCTTGACTCCAGGCTCCATGCTCTATTTACTGCACCAGTACTAGCTGCCTCCAACACCCCATTTCAAGAAGCTGAGCATAATCTCAGTATTTCTGTCCCCACCAAAAAGGCTAATAGGTAGCCAAGATTTCTGCCAGGCCTCCTATGCATCTATTCTGATCTACAGATACTCCATAACCAGAATCATTGATTGACTGCACATTTTTACCAGTCTGAGAAATGGGTGCACCGCAGGAGAGACGTTTGCAGTTTCTTGGCCAACCACACATGCGGGATGGTTTTATCATCCGCCATGTTCTCGGCAAATACAGTTCTCCCCCGGGGAACTACGCAGGCACCCGTCAGCCGCAGGCCGCCCTGCCATCCCGGGTAGCCTCCCAGCCACCCCCGCCCTGACACGCCCCTCAGCTACGCCAACACTTAACATGGCCGCCTCCGGAAGCGGAGGAAGTCGGTCCGGCCAGTTTTTCCGCCGGAGGGCCTTTAATCGCGTTGCAACGCCATCCAGTCCCCGCCCCCAAGAGCTAGCCCATTGGTCCTTCTCCGGAGTCGCCCAGCTGTCCGCCTTCCTATTGGTTGGGAGTGAGGGAGGCGGCACCGAGGAGTCGGGTGCGCTTTTTCGGACCTGACCGGCTCCAGCATGGCGACCGACTCGCTGTCTCTCTTCACCGGCCTCGGTTTGAGTGAACATAAGGCGCGCGAGACGCTGAAGAACGAGGCGCTGAGCGCGCAGCTCCAGGCGGCAGCGGCGCAGGTAGCGAGCAGTACCCGGCCCGCGGGCCCTTCGGGGACTCCCCCCGCCCCAGCATTGATGCGCCCCTTCCCTCTAACCCATCCCTGCAGTAACCCCCCTTCCCCCTCCCCAGTGGAGCCAGGTGGTGCTTCTCCCCGCCCCCCGCCGCAGCCCCTCTCTGGAGTCGGGCGCCCCGCTGGTCAAATGTGCTCACCCCCGCCCCCTTTCACTGACCCTGCGGGATAACACCCTCTCTGCCTCCTATAACACCCTCCCCGCCTCCCCACCCACTCTTGAAAACTCTCTGACATCCCCCCCCCACCATATAACGTTCTCTGTACCCCATAATAATACTCTCCGCTCCCCACCATATGGTGGCTGCTGTCCTTCCTTCACTGAAGAGAGTCAAAGTGACATCACTATGCTAGAGTCAAATTACACAACTACAAGCTCAGAATGCTCTGCCACAGGTCGGGCACGAATAGTCAGTGTGAACATTTGGGGTGGATTCTCTAAATATGCACATCTTGGGTTTCTCTTGAGCTACTTCAATTCTGCTTTGCTTAAGGAGCACAGCGCCTTCTCGGATGTGGGCATGCCATGCTGGGCGGTCCTATGCCAGTGTCTCCATGTCACACAATCAGTTCCAAAGTTCTTAAGAGAAACCTTGAGAGTGTCCTTGTGTCGCTTCTGACCAAGTGAGTTCTCCATGAATTACTCTTAGGCAAGCATCGGTTGGCATTCGAACCTCCACCATATAACATTCTCTCTGCTCCACCTAACACTGTCTGCCTCCCACCCCCATAACACCTTTGACTCCCTTAACTCTGTCCCCCTCCATGACACCCTTCCCTTCACCCCCACCATATAACATGCTCTCTGCTTCCTGTCCCTCTCAGCTCTTTTTTAGCATGAACCCCAGGCTGACAGGTTGAGAGCTTAGAGTAGACCTCGGAGGTGATCTAGACCAACCCCCTCAGCATTCTGCCCAGAGACCTTAAGTGTTTTGGCCAAGGTCCTGAAGTAGGAGTAGGGGTGTGTGGGGTGTGTGTGTGGTTTAGGCCAGGTCCTCAGGGTTCCAAATCCAGGTCTCTTCCCTTCTAGCCACTCTCTGATGCCTACCCTGGAAATGACCTATTTTGGAGTGGTGGCTTTTTTCCTTCCCAAGTATAACCCCTTCTCTGCTATCTTAAAGCACTGGAAAGGTCTCCCCTCCACCTAAAATGTGCGCTAGGATGATGATCCCTGTGAGTAAACCACCTTAAACATAACCACCCTGCAGGTATGCACCAGTCCTGCACCCAGTAATGGGCCACTGCTTTAAAACTCCAATCTCTTTCGATAATCTGCTTACATGATATGCCGTAAGTGTTATGTCCTTTGGAAGGTGGGGATGGGTAACAAACATGCCCCTGTTGAATTCTTGGGACTTTGCCCTCTTCCCATCCTTTGTCTACTTCCTTTGATAGGCTCAGCAAGTCTTGGGTCCCAGCATTGACAAGTCTACAGGAACACTTCTGTACAATGTGGCCTCTCGCCTCAAGGATCCCCGACGATTGTCCTTTCTGGTGGGTTATGTTACCAACAAGAAGATCCTCACGGACTTGCAGCTCAGTGGTGGGTATACCTTCCTTCCTCTAGTGGCACCACACACCTGGTCTTTCTTATGGTCCTAAAATCTAGCATTGGTTTTGGCCACTTCCCCCTAATTCAGGAAACCCAGTCTTTTCTTTCTATTTCACTACACACACCTTGTAGTTCATTGGGAGCTGTTGTTCTGCCTTAATTTCCGAGAGCACTCCAATTCTCCCCATACCTCCTTAGCCCACAGTGACACTCATTCCTCTTCTCTTCTCCCAACCATTCACTTTCTATTCCTTTTACCTTAGGGACCTTAAACCCTAATAGTACTTCAGCTATTCCTGCCCTAATACCCATAATTCAAGGCTCATTCCTAATTCCTCCTCTTCTACCCCCAATCTCTTTAGTCTGTGATATCCCCAACGATACCTTATCTGTTTAGTCCTTGTACAGTAGTGCTCGGATGGCCATTGTTTCTCTGACATCACTGTTTTGTAGCTAAGTGGGAGTATTAGAGCTTCTTTCCCCTTAACTGTGATTGTGTCTGTATCTCCTCACTTCCCCTGTACTCTGTTTTACTGGCTTTGGGACTATCCTGCTCCTCTTAGCTCAGGACCTCCTATAGTTCATTGGTAGTTATGGGGGCCCTTCCTCTTAGTTCCCAATTCAGTTAAATATTCAGTGCCTACTATGTGCACAGCACTGGGTATACCAGGATGGAGAACAAGGTATCTGCCCTCAAGGAGTGTACATTGTAATGGAGAGGATAAGACAGGTACACAAGTATAAAATGAGGTGACGTACAAGAAGCCCATGGCCTCTCTGAATGTACAGAGGCAGGAAGATGTGGGTTGATATGGAAGACAGCAAGTAATTTGATTTTTATATATAATATATTATGTGGGTGAATACAGTGAAATGTACTGTTCCTGTCCTTCACATTACGTATGTAGAGATCATTGCTAAGTATTGGGCCTTTCCCTCTCATTCCCTTTAGTTCCCAGACCGTAGTCATTTTACCTTCCCCTAGAATTACCCATTTGCTTAGACATAATGTAACAGGTTTTACCATTGAGTGAATGTCCTGGCAAGACCAGTACTGTCCCTCCCCAGGGATTCTGGTGTAGAATTCAACCTCTTGTAGCCAAAGTCTTGGCCATTCGAAATACTATTGGCAGCTCCATTTTAAGCTAATGCTGAAGATGTCTGGCAAATATTTGGAACTGCCCTTTTCCTGGCGTTGCTTTGTGTCTCGCCTCTAGTTTGGGTTAAATGTCAGTCTGGTTGAGGTTGCCTCTGTATCCAGACTTGCGTGTACACTGTCATTAGCATATCCCAGATTATCTCAGATCTCTTAAGTGCATGAGACTGTTTGATTGCATCCTGACTGGTTCTTTTCTCAGCTGCCCTGGAGTATCTGCGGAGCCACCCCTTGGACCCTATCAACACCGCAGACTTTGAGCAGGAGTGTGGTGTGGGTGTCACAGTGACCCCAGAGCAGATTGAAGAGGCTGTGAGTCCTAGGGAAAGGGATGATTTTGGGAATAGCCCCACCTTGGGGCCTGGGATGCATGTGGGGGTCAGAGATTAGGGAGAAGCATTTCTGTTTGGGCATGGTGAGATACAGGGGTGCACCAGGACTTCATATTCCCTGGGACAGAAGGGATCTGGATATTATGGAATTGGCTTTGATGGTTGATTTCACTATTATTGAGCCAGCTTGGGGCATCTTTCCATCCCTTTCTGTCCCTATCCACCGCTATTTGAGAAAACAACATAGTACAATATTTTGGAGTTAGAAGATATGGATTTAACTCTTGAATCTCCTTCTTTCACTCATACGCTAACTGTTATGACCTTGGATAAGTCTCTTGACTCCTACTTTCACTCATTGTCTTCTCTAAAATCAGATGGTTGGACTAGGTAATCTCTTAACATTCTTTTTATCTTTAAAATCTATTGACCCTATTTTGTGTTGATCTCTTTCTCGCTTGATGAGTAGCTGTTTTTGTGAGGCTGATAAAAATCTCAAGGTTTTCTTGTATCCCTACAGGTGGAAGCTGTGATTGGTCAGCACCGTGAACAGCTGCTGAAAGAACGGTATCATTTCAGCATGGGCATGCTAATGGGTAAGTGTGGGATCCTCCTGGCCCAGTGATATCTGACCACCTGATTAATAGGGAAAATGAGGCTGATCATGATAATCTTTAGAACTATTCATTGATTTTAGCCTCTCTCCTTCGAGATGGGCAGGTACTGATGGGGAAGTTCAGGTTAAGGTGCAGTGACTTGGCGAGTTTCCAAACTTAAGTCTTCTGACTCACAGTTTTCTTCCCCCACCATATCTGCCTGCTTGTAAAGGCCTCTGAACATATTAGGCCTTTAGTAAATGTTTATCGAATTGAATTCTACAGTTTTTGTTTTTGTCCCTTTTGCCCTAGGCCTTTTGGAATGGGATGGGGATGTGTGTGTGGAGAGCTGAGCATGTGGCCTTTTTTCTTGCAGCAAGTGGTCTCTTTAGGCTCTGAGACACAGGCATCTTATCTGGTTTTGGCTTGGCTCTGGAGCTAGATGAAAGGCCAGCCTCATCCCTGAATTCTGTTTGGTTGTGATGCTGACACAATGGTGGAAAACACAGCATTATGTTTCATAGCTCCTGAGGCAGGGCTGGGTTCTGGTGTTACTTCCTTACAAGATTCTCTCTGGTCCTCAGCTTCCTGGTATCTTCTCTTCCAGGTGAGGCGAGGACAGCACTGAAGTGGGCAGATGGCAAGACCATTAAGAATGAGGTGGATATGCAGGTGGGTTTGTGTTTGTCAACAATTCAACTATGGTGGCCAGTTTAGAACTTATGTAAGACCCTGTTGTTATCAGTCAAGTGATAAGGCCATGGCATTAAGTCTTGGGTTGGGTTATGTACTCATAGGCCAGTAAGTTTAGAGATGGATCGGACTTTGGCTGTCTCCAAGCCCAACCCTTAATATTTAACAGAAAAGGAAACTGAGGCCCTGAATGATTAAGTGACTTGTTCAAAATCCCACAGGCAGTAACTAGTGATAGAGATGGGTTTAAAGCCCAGTCCTTTCACTCCAAATCCTTTGCCCTTTCCACTGATACACTGCTTCCTCAACTGTCTGTACATGTTAATAAAGTTAAGATGACCATAAGGACACGATAGAGCACTTTCTATCTCAGTAACCCAGCAGAAAAGGGGAAGGAATTGTGTTGGGCGGAGGGAGGGTGAACAATATAGCATTGTCCTTCTCCTGCTGTCCATCTTGGACTTTGTGTGAATTGTCTGCACTGGCTTGTACCTGGATCAGGCACTGGCTTGTACCTGGATCAGACCCTGGCCTCCACTTCATTGTCCCCATCTTTGTTCAGGTTCTCCATCTTCTGGGCCCAAAGACAGAGGCTGATTTGGAGAAGAAGCCCAAGGTAGTGAGTGGCTCCAGGTGCTCAACATCTCTGGGACAAGCTGAGGGAACAGGAAGCTGGGCCAGGACCTAATCTTAGGATACTGGATCTTTTCTTCCTGGCTGCTATGGGTTCGGGTATGGTGTTGTGTCCTAAAGGAGGCCAAGCCAGGCTGTGTTTGCTGTTTCTGCTCTCTAGGCTGCAAAGACCCGACCTGAGGAGAAGGACTTGAAGGCATCTAGGACTGCAGCGTCGAATGGTATAAATTAAGCTCATTCCTGGTTCGGTATCCACATCCACTTTGTGATGGAGGTTTCTGCCCCTTGACTCCTCTTGAGGCATCTTGTGAATCCTCTTTTCCTCCCTTTCTCTTCCCACTCCCTCCGTTTGTTGTGTGGTTGGTACTGGGCCAGAGACTTCAGAACGAAACTACTTTTCTTGGCATGGAGGAGATGGTTCTCAGACAGCCCCAGCACCACCCTGCTCCCCTCCTCAGCGCAAATGATGCTTTCATGGTATGTGAGGGATTGATTTTAGCCTTGCCTTAGATGTTGATGGTTTTGATCTTCTGATAGTACCCAGAGGCAGTTCAGCACCTATCCCGCCCTGATACCTGTGGCCAGAATTCCCAAGCTGTGGCTTATGAAATCAGGATCCTTCCCTGATCTTAGGACTGGAAGTGATCCTGGAGGCTGGCTCCTACTGAACTATCCTTTGGAACTCCAGGTTGCATGGTTGTAACTATTCTTACCTCCCTCCTGTGTCTGGCCCCTGGGACAGCGCAGTCTCTGGCCAAAGAGCACACTCACCCTTGGGAGTTTAATCTGATGAGGTTTTTTTCTCTTGACCTGTCTCACCCAGGTTTGACCTGGATGCTGGGATGATTGGCTCTGAGCAGGGTTCCGTTCACCCTTACCTCAGTGCTGGGGTGTATGGAGTGTTCAGAGAAGACTAGCACCTCTGGTGCGAGGGCTTGCTGAGCCCTTCTCCGGGCTGCCCATCTACGTTTGCTGTCCACCTGCCACCCAACTCTCACCTGTGGCTCCAAGAAGCTGTAGCTTGGGTAGCAGCCATATCCCAGTAAAACTATCTTGGGAGACGGGCTGAACCAGGTTGAGAGTAACTGATAGGTCTCAAACCCAGATGAGAACAGTTGGTTCCAGTGGCCATGAAGGTTACTGAAGCAGGCTCTGTGGAATGCTTAGAGCTTGATTAGACACCCAGGACCGCTGCATCCTGGGCCTCACCAGTCATCTTGATTTTTGTCTTGCCACTGGAATTTGATGACTGAAAAAGAAAGTGAGGCTGATGACTTTGTGTGACTCTGCCTTACTTAAATCCAGTTCACTCAGAAGTTAGGACATCACCCATGATGTCACTGGTCCTTTTCAAAAACGAAGGACCACCACCAACAACCTCTGCTGGCCTGTGCTGTGAAGCTTTCCCTGCAGACAACAGCTCTTTTTTCCCGTAGTTCTTAGTGGTCTTTTCATTTGAGTTCAGATTTTTTTAAGATCCAGGGAACATTTGGGTTTTATTTGCTGGGAAGATGTTACTTTCTTTTCTTACTGGAGTTAGGAGTCAGCCACTGGGTTCCTGGCGCTGCTTCGGAGCTAATGGGAAGCCTGGTGCTCTCTCTGGAGATTACTACAGCATATTCTGGCTTCTCTAGGTGAGGAACCTGCAACCTCTCTGTCTCTGATGGAACAGCTCAGGGGAGAAGCACTTAGGTTCCACAAACCAGGTGAGTGAATCAGCTGGAGGCTGGGGCAGAAGGCCAAGGCACCCCCTCTTTCTGGGAGATGACGATAGTAGGTGGGGTTCAGATTTCTTTTTGGTGAAGCTTCATGTGACTTTGACTCTAAAGCATCTGCCCAGAGCACCCATCACTCCCCTTCCTCCCTGTGGAGGGTTCAGGATCAGTCCCTTTGAACTAATGATTCCTGTTGTCATTCTCCTCTGGGGTATGAAGCCAGGAGCCTCATCCAGGCTCACCTCGGTTCTCCTGCCCCCTTGACAATAACTGGTAATAGGTCCCAGTCCTAAGGAATATGCCATTCTTTCCTGCCACGCTTTCCTAAGGAATCTCCTCAATCATCTGACTCTTGCAGGTGAAAACTACAAAACCCCTGGCTATGTGGTCACACCCAATACCATGCCTCTGTTGCAGCAGCACATGGAAATCACAGGGGGACAGGTGCAGGGGCCTCCTTCCTTTGGTGGTGGGGGATGGTAGGAGGGTTGGATAGCAAGGTGTCTTGCCTTACTTGTTCTGAGAATCAAGGCCAAGGGCCAAGATGCTTGTGGGTAGAAATGGCCATAGCAACCCTTGGGCTGGGAAGGGAAGTAATTCATGGGCATGTAAGAACTTCACATAAGCCTGCTCAGTATCTCTTTTGGGGCCCAGGTTTCTGATGTGGTCGTGGAGAAAAGATAGAGGAACTGTCATTGAGCTCAGTTGTCACATAGCCAAGTGACTTGGAAGACTCTCGGTCTTCCGAGCCTCCCTGTTCATCTCTTTCCTTTCCTAGGTACGAACACGATTCCCACCAGAGCCCAATGGTATTTTGCATATTGGACATGCCAAGGCCATCAACTTCAACTTTGGCTATGCCAAGGTAAGTGTCCATCCTGGGTCAAAGGTAGAGGGCTAGCCTTTTATTCTCAATGTCTGTGGGTTCATAGATGTCGAACTGGAAGGTGCTTCAGAGGCCATGGAATACAACTCCATCATTTTATAGAAGAGGAAACAAGGACCCTCAGAGTTGAAGTGACTTGCTTATGGTCACACAAATACTGAATAGAAGAAATGGGATTTGAACCCAAGTCCTTTGACTCCAAAGCTGGTGTTCTTTTCACTGTATCATGCTGTTTCCCAGTGGGATAGAGGGACTCTTATATGGGGAGCATTATGAACCAATAGTGACCCAAAGACATCATGTACGCTTGCTGATTTCTGATTGCCTATGGGAGTGACGTTTTGACAGATCTGACTGGTAGCCAGGAGAAATGGGAACCCATGGTGACCAGGGACAGGGCGACCTTGCTATCTGGTAATATCCTTGGGCCCAGTTTCCTCATCTGAAAAATATGAGTCTTAGACTAGATGAACTTTAGGGACCAGATTCTAGCTTTAAACTTCATGCTTCATTGAACTTAGGGAGCAGAGTGACCCTGTGGTAACTCTGGCATCACTTACCCTCTGACTCTGGGAAATAGCATGATCTCATAGTGACCAGGTACAGGGCTTTTCCTCCATGAGGGTTGACCCTGGGAGGTGTACTGTGACCCACTTGCTCCCTGTTTGGTGACTGGGGGTGGGGGGGAATAGTGACTCCTTAGGACCCCTTAGAGGGACTGTTTGATGCTGTTAATTCTGTAGTGACCAGAGGGGTATAAGGGTCACTCACTGTCCAAAGTGAGTAGCTCCCCCTGGCTCCTTCTGGATACATGCTGCTCTCCTTGGGGCACAGCTGGTCAGGGATTCCCCAGGGAATTGAAAACCTCTCTTCTAGTGAAATGTTCCATTCCACTGACATTTGTGGAACAGATTTGATGATCTGAGGTCTGTACTGTGCTTTGATTTTTAAAGCCCCTTTAACACATCTGAAGTCACATTGTTGACTTAACATATAAACATGTAACCTGGGTAACTTGAGGTTTTGCTTGTAAAATAATTGTAGTTAGTGCATTTAGAAATAGTCAAGCTTTTTGGTGAAAGGCTTTGGGGAAACAAGTATTTTCCAATTTGAAAGAAAACTCCAAATTCTTTCTTGAATTTTAAAATATTTTTTCTATCCAAGGCTTCAGATCTGTAAGTAGACAAAAGGAGATGATTTTAATGGGGGTAGAGCCATCCAGAACTGGGGTCTCTGACGATTTCTGGTTTCTGTAGGCTAACAATGGAGTCTGCTTTCTGCGCTATGATGACACAAATCCTGAGAAGGAGGAGGAAAAATACTTCACTGGAATCCGGGACATGGTGGAATGGCTGGGTATGGAGTCCTGGGCCAGAATGGACTGGCAGGAGGTTGGGAGGAACAGGAGGAGGACGAGGAGGGTGGCTAAGTGGGCTTGGCAGGAGATTTTCTTACTCAGGCACTAGCTGGGCCCCTGGCTTTGCAGGTTACAAGCCCTACAAGGTGACTCACGCCTCAGACTACTTTGACCAGCTCTATGCCTGGGCTGTGGAACTCATCCAAAGGTAAAGCCAGAGGTCTCCTTGGGTGAGGGTGAGGGTGAGGGCTAGAAGGGGCTGCGAAGGGCTTCTGTCATCAGAATAGATAGGCCTCTGTCGATTGCTTGCCACCCGCTTGAAGTTGATATTCCTTCTACTCATGCAGGGGTCATGCCTATGTCTGCCACCAGCATGTAGAAGAGATTAAAGGCCACAATCCTCCACCCTCTCCATGGCGAGATCGGCCAATTGAAGAGTCTTTATTGCTTTTTGAAGTGAGCTGACCTTTGATTCTAACCCTGGAGGGAGACTTGCCCAGGGCCTGAGTGTGAGTGGAAGTCTGTCTTTCCTCAGGGAATGAAGAAGGGGAAGTTTGCTGAAGGAGAGGCCACACTGAGGATGAAACTGGTTATGGAAGATGGAAAGATGGACCCAGTGGCCTATCGCATCAAGTACACGCCTCATCATCGAACTGGTGATAAGTGGTGGGTGCTGCTGCCCTGGGGTTAAGGCCAAGTTTGGGCTCTAGGAAGGAGCTGGGGCACAGGCCTTTCAGTGACATGGGGGGGACTTAGGTGCTGTCATGTCTCTCTTTTTTTTTTTTTCCCCTCTGTCTCTTGTTGTAGGTGCATCTACCCCACATATGACTACACACACTGTCTCTGTGACTCCATTGAGCACATTACCCACTCTCTTTGCACCAAAGAGTTCCAGGCCCGGTGAGTGCAGAGGCCAGGGAGGCACAATGAGGGAAGGCAGCATCTGTAACCCTTTGCTCTGATAAACTTTGGACATAGTCTCTCTCCTCCATGGTTGTGCTGGAGAGTGACTGGGGAACAAGTATGGAAAAGAACCTGATCGGGTGGTGGGCGTCCTTGGAAAGGATCCTTGGAAGGCCAGGCTGTGATCAGCAGTGTGACCCAACCCAACTGTGTGAGGGGCCATCCTGAAGTACCTGTTGTCCTCAGGCGCTCCTCCTACTTCTGGCTCTGCAATGCACTCGATGTATACTGCCCGGTTCAGTGGGAGTATGGACGCCTCAATCTGCACTATGCAGTTGTGTCCAAGAGGAAGATCATTCAGTTGGTGGAGGCTGGTGCGGTCAGGTAAGAGTCTTGTGAGAGTGAGTGGTAGATTTGTGGTTCTTCTGAAAAGTCACGGCTGGTGGGAAGGGGGTTAGAGCCCCCACCCCATTCTCAGAGATGGCAGGGGAAAGAATGCTGGATTTTGAATCAGAAAGCCTGGATTTGGACCTTGGCTGTGATCTTAAATTCCTTCCTCTCTCTGGGCTAGTTTCCTCATCTACAAAATTACGTGCTAAGGTTGGATTCTAGATGATTTGGTGTCAAGAAGGGTAGAGTACTGGAAGAGCTACATTGATAGCCAGGGCCTGTGTCTTCCTGCTGATGGAATACTGATTGTGGAATGAATTCTATTTTCCTCTGCTTAGAGAGTTAGACTCCCCTGGCAGGACAGATTGGATGGATCTGTGCCTGGACTGGGCACTGCCTCCTGAACATAACAGTTTGTCATGAGCTGCTTCTAGTCTCAGGTCCTACAGCCAGTGGGTCAGTGGGGAGGGTCCAGTATTGGGAATCAGAGGACCTGGGTTCAAATCCTGGCCCTTCATTTACTGTGTGAGTGTGGGAAAGTGACTTCAGCCTCCCTGGGCCTCAATTTCTTCCAGTGTAAATTGAGACATTTGAACTAGAGGTCCTTTTCAGAGTGACCTATTTACAATCCATTGCACTTCAGTATGCAGTAGAAAAAGCTCTGGATTTGGGGTCAGGAAACCTTGGACATATTACTTCACCAGTCTTATTTTCTTCATATCTGGGGATACTCCTCCCTGCCTCATAGGTTCTTGTGTGGAAAGCCCTTAGTAAACGTTAAAGGCCTGTTGAAATGTTTAGTCGTTGATCACTAATATCGTCTTGGTTAAGGGAAGCTCCCTTATGAGGCTAAACGGTGTAGGCCAGAGACAGCTTGACTTGGAGTCAGTTATTCTCCTGTGTAGGAAAACCACAAGAATAGAAACTGAGCCTTCATTTGTGAGATAGGGATCAATGTGCCTGGGATCCTTGCCTCACAGTGGGGTGAGGATTGATGGAAGTGAAGTACCTAAAACTCTGCACACCTAAAATGGTCCATGAAAGTCCATTCCAGACCTCAAACCCTGTGATTGCTGTGGTTTTTGAGGACCTTGGGTGATGTTTGCATGGTTCAGAGCAGTGGGTTCACAAGAGCCACGTCCCAGGTAGGTGTTCATTCTCCCTGTGTTGCAGGGATTGGGATGATCCTCGGCTCTTCACGCTCACAGCACTCCGTCGTCGAGGCTTCCCTCCTGAGGCGATCAACAACTTTTGTGCCCGGGTAGGTGTGGGAATGTCCAGGGTCCCACACACCCTGGACCAAGTAGCCTCTGTGTGGCTGGAGGCCCACAATCTGGGCCTGGTTGGCCACTGGCCTCTTTCTTGCCTCTTTCTGGCAGGTGGGTGTGACTGTTGCTCAGACAACGATGGAGCCTCATCTGCTAGAAGCCTGTGTTCGAGAAGTGCTGAATGATGGGGCCCCCAGGGCCATGGCTGTACTTAAGCCACTCCGGGTCACCATTACCAACTTCCCATCGAGCAAGGTCAGGGGCAGGCAGAGGGAGTCAGCCTGGGAAATGGAGCTAGAGACAAGTACTACTGGGGTTTCCTGCAGTGCAGCTGTTTCTAGTCTGTCACCTTGTCCCATAATCCCCTGCCCTTCTCTGTCCAGTGGTGATTTCCATCCACGTACTGCTATGTATTTTGCTGCTCCTCTGGGGAAAGATCTTACATGAGAAGCAGCGTGAAAGGCCCCTGGATTTGGAAGTTTTAAGCTCAAATTCCAGTTCTCCTTGTGACCTGTGTGACCTTGTGCAAATTATGTAATGTCTCTAGAAATGAAGGCTCTGCTTCGTTACCTGTAAAACAAGTTGGTTCAACTAGATAATTGTTAATGTCCCTTCCAGCCTTAAATCATGTGATCCTTTGTGTGTTTTTCTCTCTGATGCAGGCAATTGATGTCATTGTACCCAACTTTCCAGCTGATGAGACTAAAGGCTTTCACCGGGTTCCCTTTTTACCCACAATCTATATTGAGCACACCGACTTTAAAGAGGTTAGGAGTGGATCTGGCTTCTTGTCCTGAGTCTCTGCTTATTCTTCATGATTCCCCTGGGACCTGGGGAGAAAGGAGTAGGACAGGAAAGAAGGCTTTGGCTACTTTCTTCAAGCCTCTTATCAGGATTGAGCTCTATGGCCGGGACCATGATTACAGGACCAAAAAAATGGAACTTTAGTATCATCTCATTTTGGTAACTTCTGGGCTGTCCCTAGGCCTTTTAACAAGCACAGTTACCTTGCTTGTGCCTTGGCCAGACTCATCCTGTGTCCCAGCTCCTTGACCTTAACTACATTCTTGGGACTGGGTGGCTGTGGCAAGTATTTTTCCCTTGATGTTGACACAGCTTTCTTTGCAGGAGCCAGAAAAGGGTTACAAACGTCTTGTGCCAGGCCAGCCAGTAGGTCTGAGACATGCGGGTTATGTTATTGATGTACAGAATATCATCAAGGTGAGAGGTGTCCACTTCCCAGGACAGATGGTACCTGGAATTGGGCCTACCTTTTCTGTTGTCAGTAACCGCTCATTTTCCTAGGTTATTCCAAGTGCCTTGGAAGGAATCAAGGATAGAGCGCCCTTTCCCCCCTCCCGCCAGCATTACCATTTATTCACCCCCCTTAGCAGGTTTTATTGCAGGACAGGGGAAACTTGTCAACAGGTTGGCCAGAGAAAGTACTTCCTGTAGTTAGAAGCCCCATAGGTCCTAGGAGGTCTGGAAACCAGGTGATAAAGAACATCCATCCCAGGAACTCAGTGGGTTAATCTCTCTCTTTTTTTCTTAAAGAATGCCAGTGGCCAGGTGACTGAGCTGGAAGTAACATGCAGCAAGTCAGATGCTTCTGAGAAGCCCAAAGCTTTTATACACTGGGTGTCTGAGCCCTTGCAGTGCGAGGTCCGAATCTATGAGAGGCTGTGAGTCTGGGGATCAGAGACTGGGAAAAGATTAACTTACTTGGGATTCAGGGTTAGCCTTAGAGAATTCAGTTATCAGTTGTTTGGAAGATACCTGGGAGAGCTAGGTTCTGAGCCCTAGCCACGAGCCTCACAAGATGTATATGATTGCAGATTCCGACACAAAAACCCTGAGGATCCTTCTGAAGTCCCTGGTGGATTCTTAAGTGACTTGAACTTGGTGAGTCTGCATTGGGGGAAGTGGCCAATAGGTCTTGGGTGTTTTTCCTTCCCAGGAAAGAGCTATGAGTGGAGGAACTGGGGACTTCTTCTGTATAGTCCAGAAAATAGTGTCTGTCTATGGGATGAACCCCACTCTCCTAAAGCCTGCACCCCTGCACAACATGATCTAATGCATTTGTGTCTTACAGGACTCTCTGAGTGTGATTGAAGATGCCTTGGTGGATTGCTCGGTCAGTGGTGCAAAACCCTTTGATAAGTTCCAGTTTGAACGCCTGGGCTACTTCTCTGTGGATCCAGACAGTACGGAAAGAAAGGTCAGCCAGTACTCTCCCTTTCTCCCCTCCCTGCTTAACCTAGCCCTAGGGCACTTGGTCTTATTCCAGCTTCTGACTTAAAGAATGGCCACTGAGGATTTGGCCACACAACTGTCTTTCCCTTTGTCTCTCAGCCAAAGTTCATGAAATACCAGCACATCATGACAATATTGGGGGTCAAGCAGAAAATCACTGTGTTTTCAGAAGAAACAAAATGCCATGTGAAAATCTTTCCACTGTCAATAAGAGGAAGGAATTTGGGTGTCTGTCAGCTTGAATTCTAGGCCTTGCTCTAACACATTGACTTTGGGCAAACCCCCTTCCCTCTATCTTAATTTATCAAAATCAGTCTATGATTTTATCACTTAGGGTGCCTTCCTCTGACACACATCTCAGTCCTTTCATGCTTTTAATAGACATTTTCTGGAGTACTTACGACTAAAATTCATCACCTGGTGCCCAGCCCTCTGTTGCTGAGCTGCCTTCATAGAGCATGCCCCCACTTATTGTTAGGTCTCTATTTGAAGCCTTTCCAGTTTTGTAGGGTCTTTTAGAGCTTGCCGTCAAGACTGACCAGTCCTCAAGAATGGAGCGTTATCCCACACCACGAGGAGGGATCAAAGTTGGGTTTTTGGTGGAGCTCTGCCTATTAGTCATGGGTATAACTCATAGGGTTGTTTTGTGGTTCTAATGAAGTAACGTCTGGAATAGTGCTTTGGAAATTTAAAGCCTCACACAAGTATAAAGTATAATAAGGTCATGTTAAATTTTTATAGCAGCCCTCAGAGGTCAAAGGTAGGTGGGACAAGTAGCATTTTCCCTGTTTTACACATCAGGGAGTCAAGGCCCAGAGAAATGATTTGCCTAAATTCACAGAACCCCCTAGAATCCAGGTCCCTTAACATGCAGCTAAGGTTTATTGGGGGGAGGTTATGTCACTGAATACACAGGGCTATAGGCAATCTAAGTAGCATTGAATCTGTTATATTGAAGTGCTCTATAATGAGGTCAGACTTTTTGAGGCCTAGAAGGCATACTCACTTTCTGGTATTTCATGTTTGGCCAATCTAAATTTGGCCTAAAGGGCTTGGAGAAACTCTTTGTGCCCTGTGTATGGAGCCTAACTTCTCTTTTCTTTCCTTCTCTAGCTTGTCTTTAACAGGACAGTCACTCTGAAGGAGGACCCTGGGAAAATGTGAGTGTCTTGAGTCCAGGATGAAGTCAGTAGTCTGGAGGGCAGGAGAAGACAAATCTACCTTTGCCTTATCAGGGCCAGACTTGGCCATGCTCACCTGGTGTGCCACCTCTGGATGACCAATAAAGAGCAGCATAGTTTTCCCTGGAGTCTGTCCTCAATGAGTTGGCGCAGGGATGGTAGTGAATGCTTTTGGCCTGAGGAGATGGATCAGGGAAGCCTTTTTGACTGGGGCTAGTGGCCCTTGTATTTCTAAGCTGGTCTTTGCTTGGCTTCCTTTTATATAATAAACCTTTTCCCTTTCTCCCCCTGGATTTTGAGTTAATGATGAGCAAGAGACATGGCTTAAACCCGTTTTTTGGCTCCTTTGAGCAGAACAAAGCACTTACTTTTGATCATCCCCTTTTTAATCTTCCTACCTACTTCTACTAATGAGTAGTCCTGGAGAGGGAGAGGAGATCCATTTTCCCCATTTCCTCTTTTCTCCTCAACCCTGGCTCAGGAACATTCTTCCCCTTCCCCCTACCTCCCAGTGGGATAAAAGCAGTAGGGGGTTGTGGCAAGAGGCCAAGAAGATGCCTTCTGATGACCCAGATCACTGACAGAAAGTCTTGGATGAGATCATAGATAAGGGGTTATATCACTCAACAAGCATTTATTAGGAATTTACTGTGTGCCAGGTAGGTGGCGCATCACAGAAGGTGATGGGAATACAAAAAGAATATAGTCCCCCCTAAAGGAATTTTAATGGGGGTAGTCTAGAAACCTATTTCTGATACCTTAAATAATTTGATAGCCAGTAAAATATAATTTCCTTGAGGTTAGAGGCCCTTGTTTTTTGTTTGGCTGTCCAGTCCCACCAAGTATGCTTTTAATAAATGTTTATAGATCTAAGGTGGAACTTCTGAGACTGTCTAGTCCATCTTCCCCCTCCCCCCTTTATAAAAGAGGAAACCGGCCCAGAGGAGGGACAGTGTAACACAGGTGGTGAATAGCAGAACCAGGATGCAAATCCAGCTTCCTTTCCCAGCCGAATGATCTAAGATTAGATAATTAAGGGCTGCAGTGTTCAGGACCCAGTCTGGTCAAACTGTAGAGGATAAAGGACAAAGGAGGTTGGGCACAGACCCAGCTGATTTGTCCTAGGGGATCTGTTGCCTTCCCCAATCAGAGGAAAGAAGCTCTCTGGGATTTGTGCACCATCAGCAGGCAGAGGCGCATGCACTGGCTGGCATTGTGGCCTCACCCTCTCTCTGCCTTTCTTGGGAGCAGAGTCATGGCCTGGCTGCCTTTGGGGTCCCTCTCCCCCAGTCCTGCAGTCCCTACTCTAAAGGCAGGGAGTGTGTCTGCAGCTTTAACATCCTCCACATTTCCCACTGTATACAAACACCAAAGTCACCCAGGGCCTGGTTTAAGGTGGACTGCAGGGAGCTGTGGGCTTGCTGCCCCCTGCTTGGAAGGGGCTCGTACTGCTCCCCCGGGGCTCTTTCCCAAGAGGATCGGGCCCTCGCTTTCCTGGGGGAAGCTAAGCATTTAACCAGGGCTGCCGAGGCAGCTCTGAGAGCAGCTGGGGCCTGAAGTCACCGAGGACCCCGGGGCCTGCAGGGGCATCAGTTCCGGGCCACCTTAAGCAGGGATGCTGGTGCAGCTGAGTAGGAGGTAGTTTCGCTGAGGATGGGAAGAGAGGGGGTAGAAAGGGCTCGAGTCTCCCGCCAGGATGGCCTGTAGTGAAAACCCCCAGGACTGGGGCCAGGCCAGTGCCGGGTCTGGGCTGGATAGCCCTGCCAGCTGGTGCTGGGAGCCAGGGCCCGCCAGGTGAGGGTCAGGGCATGGTAGGAGACCCACGACCTAGGGAATGGGGGAGGATGGGCAACAACCCCAGGCCCGGCCCCTATCCCTGAGCACCGCTGCCTTGGTCGGGCATGGAAACAGAGCCTCAATCCGTGGTCTTCGGGGCCCACGCCTGCGACCCCGTTTGGCCTGCTGTGCCTTCACTGCGACCTCCACTGCTGGCGCTCCCCGGCTTCCCGACCTCTTTCAAGGGTGGAGCAAATCAATCCTTCAACCCCTGGGTCTAGTTTATTGGGGGAACTCCAGCCTCCCCCGGGGATCCTTTCCCCTTTCGAGGCCTCCATCTCGGGCCTGATCTAGGCTCCTTTCCCAATCCCTGCTATCCTCGGGTTCGCCGGCCTTCTGGACTCAGAGCCCCCGCCCCGCCCCAGCCTTCCCACACCACGATGGCCCCCTCCCTGCACGGAGAGTGACGCCTAGGTTTGACCCCACCCCAGAGAAGGAACGGCCTTGGTTGTCTCGCGGGGGCCACTCTGAACGCCTGGTCTGGTGAATGGGCCATTGAGACACCTGGGCCTTTGCAGCCTCAAGCCCTGGTCTCCCATGATATCCAAGGGCAGTCTAACCACCCAGGCAAGGACCAGGGAGGGAAACTGAGGCCGAGTGACCCTGACCCGCATAACCCACTATTACTGGGGGTAGGTGGTGGAGAATAGCGGAGATGTTCATCTGCCGACTAAAGGAAGAAAGAAGGGTGGGAAAGAGAAGGGCACTGATTCGTTTAAGTTCTCTTAATTCCGAGAAAATGTCCATCTAAGGACGCCCGGGGGCTGCAGCGGAACGCGTTCCCTTTAAGGCGGGCCAGGAGGCCCCGGTTAGTTCTCGCGGGAGTTGCGTTCTCCGTTCTCGCGAGAGAGGAGCTCGGCGCTCATTGGCTGTCGGGGTTGAATGTAAGATGGCGCCCAGGGAGCTGTGAGGGGAAAATCCTGTCGGTCTTGAAGCGGCGACTGTAGAGCAGGGGCCCGAGGCGGCACGGAGGGGCCCGTGGGCGGAGCGGCGGCGGCGGCACTCGGTAAGGGCTGTGGCGCGGGTGAGGAGGGTGCCGGGGTCGCCACGGCGCGAGTGAGCGAGCGAGAGGGTGCCGCCGCCGCTACCACTACACAACGGCGGAGGGAGCTGAGAGGAGCGGGCCGAGTCTACTGGGCCCCGGAGGGTGCGGGGCGGCTCCGGGCAGCCGAGAACACCCTTAGTTTTCCGCGCGACGCCGCTGCCCAGCCCCCTCCCTTTGAGTTAGTTGGAGGGGTGCTGGTGGTGGGGGCTGCGCTTGCGAGTTCGGGCCTGGCTTCTGAGGTGGGGGGGGAGGGAGGAGGCGGGTAGGCGGGTGCGCGCGCGCAAAGCGGGTTTTTCTCTCTCCCGCCGGCGCGCGCCGCCGTGCGCCGTCGTTCTGGGAGCGCGCGGGCCTGGGCCTGGGGCAAGTCGGGGGGTGGGTGGGAAATCTGGTCTATTTCTTTGCCTGGCGTGGGGGCGCGCCCGGATGGAGGGGGCGGGGCGCCCCGCGGGCACTGGGCTGTGGCTGTCGGGGCCGACCGGGAGGGGCGCGCCTGGGGCCTGCCTTCGCCTCGCCTCCGGCAGCCTGCCCTTGCCCTCTTCCCCCCACCCCCCACTCCTCCGGGGTGGTTTAGTTGTTGTAGGGGCGAACCTTGCTCGCTGTTGGGCCGAGGCAGGCGCGAGGCCCAGGTTGGGAGGGAGCCTCGCCCCGGTTGCGCAGGGAAAAGGGGGGGGAGCGGGCACGCGCGGTCTGCCCAGGCGCGGCGCCGTCCCTCTTGTCACCTCCCCCCCCAGCCCGCCCCCCCTTACCGACGTCCCCCTGGGCCCGGCTCGACTCTGGTCACTGTGACGTTTGGATGGGGCTCAGCCCCTTCTCAGCTGGGGACGGGGCGGGGGGGGGGGCAGGGTTGGCCCATTATCCTCGATCTGGATCCAGTGACCTGAGGGCTGATGAGCCGGTGTGTGCTCTGAGGAGAGCCGGGAGCTACTGCTCTGCCCTTCGGTGGAGAGAGTCCAAAGCTCGGCCTGGAGGCTTTCCCCGAATCAGCTCCTTGTTCTGTAGCTTTTATGTCAGGATAGGGCAGTTTGTTTATAAAAGAATTCCTTCGGGTAGTACTTGTCTGGTCTTTGAAAATTGATTCTTCTGTAAGCACACCCCCAACACATTCCCACTGCGCTGTTGCCCAGACCTGGGAAGAACCACTGGGGGAAACTTAGCCTCTGTAATTTTCGTCTGTCATCCTACCCCCAGGGTTTAATTTGTCTATTGGTCTAAGGGCCAGAGGTTGCTCCTGCTAGAAAGTTGGCTATGACAAAACAAAAAAGATCCTTTTATCTTACCCTCGAAGAATCTGTAGAAATCTACGGGAAAAAAATTAAGGAGTAAAAAAACTCAGAAGAACTTGATGTTTTAGGAATTGCACTGCTATACAGGCCACCTTTGTATTTATTTCCACATTTTACATAGATTTTGGATCCCATCCTCCTTTGTATATTGTGTTCTGCATTGCTGTCTTAAGCTAGGTTCTAGTATGTCCAAATGTTTTATGACCTGCAGTGATCTACCCAAATTCTAGAGAAGCATATTTTCTGGAACAAAATGTCTCTAAATCTGTGTCTGAAAGTCTTGTGGACTTAAATTTTGTGGAGGAAGTAAGGAGATGTTAGCAATAACTAGAAAAAACTCAGGAATTTGGTAATAATGGAAACCTCTAGTTTCCAATTTACTATCCCTTAAAGTGTCAGAACATAAAAAGAGTTTGAGGATGGAAAGAACTTACTTGTTCTTCAGAATGTTACATTAAGAGCTCAGGGCAACTATCAGAATACATAAAATATATTGAGTTAAAGTTCACATGCCAAAAGTATGTCTGCCTATTAAAATTAACATTCCTTTTTTTAAAAAGTTCTATAAACTATCCCAAGTATTTTCTGGAGCTGTCAACTAGAACTTTCAATTAACCTTAAAGTGGAAGAACTTTGTCTTTATATCCAGCAACAGGCTGTTGTCTGGCATAGACTGTTCCTCTCTGAATGTAAGAAGATTGTTGATGCTGCCAAGTTTCAGGATTAGGATTCAGGATTTTAATTGATAGCTGGATTGAGCTTAAACTATTGAATTGTCAATAACTTCCAAGAGAGAACTGTCATAGTTTTGTATAAATTTTAGGCTCTGACTTTGTTAGTTGATATAAAAATTATCAACCTCAGCATTAATTACGTAGGGGGCACAACCTATACTTTGTTCCCCTTCCAATTTTCTAAATACAGGATTATTTCAGCACAATATCAATCTCTATTTTATGTATGATTTCAAATAAAAGATTAGAGAGGCATCATGGTGTAGTGGAATGTTGGGCTTTGAATTGAGAGACTTGGGTTCAAATTCCAACTCTTCATTTGACCATGGACAAATCTTTTAATCTTCCTGAGGATCAGCTCCCTCATCTGTAAAAGGAGCATCTTAATACATTGACTTCAACCTCATAGGGGTTTGATAAATGAGAAAAGTGAGGTTTAGATGGTTTATTCTCCTTGCTTGTCAACCTCAATACTAGAGGTACAAACTCTCAAATGGCCCAATTTCCTGAAGTCTGCTAACTTCGCCTGCTATACACTGTGGATTTCCCTGTTGTCTTCATGTACCCAAATGATGCTTTTTTTTTTTTTTTTGGACAGAGATTTTTGTCTTACTTTATCTCTTAGCCAAATGAGTTCAGAGCACCTAGCTGTTTTATTTCTTGGCACATATTTGACCTAAGCTTTTCATAGTATTTTTGCATAGTGTCTAGGCTTCTTGCTATTAACTTTTGCTTTCTAACATGACTACATTGGAGCTGACTTTCCTTTTCCAAAATGGAAAGACTGTACTGTGATTTGTAAGTACGAGGTTAAATGGCTCTGTTTCATTGTTTATACTAGGATTACATAATTGTAAGTTATTATAATTGCTCGTGGACTCTGTTAGGAAACCAAATTTTAAATTCTTACTTGAAAATTTATTTTTTACAAAATAGATGTAGAATGAAAATGTTCCTCAATCAGTGACTCACTCTGGTAAAGTTTGAGGATTGATGACTTAATGAATTATTTCCATCATAAACTCCAGGGTGTTCATATCTTCAAGAATTAGGCCTATACCCCTTTTGAGCACGAAGCTTACAGGTTGGAAATGATTCAGTTAGAACAAATGCATTATTTGCTAAAATGAAACTGAATTTTGATTCATTTCTATATGAAGAAAAGTTGATTTTGAATCCATCTCAAATGCTATAGGTCATAAATTGGACTGCTATAGTGAGTCCCAAAGTATAATTGTTATATTCATGAAAAGAAGCCTTTCTCTTCTTTTTTTTTTTTGGCTAGGCAATGGGGTTAAGTGACTTACCCAGAGTCACACAGCTAGTAAGTGTTATGTGTCTGAGGCCGAATTTGAACTCAGGTCCTCCTGAATCCAGGGCTGGTGTTTTCTGCTGAGCCACCTAGCTGCCCCAAGAAGCCTTTCTAATAATTAATTGAGGGCGTATATGTGGGACTCCCTAGAAAACAGAGTGTAAATGAAATGTTTTGTACAGTCATTTATGAAGTGCCCACTGTATTTGCAGTGCATAAGGGGATATTAGAGATATAAAAGATCTTGCAAAGGACGAGCCAAGTCCAAGTAGAAAGGACACATCCATTACATGTGAAAAGGACTTCAGAAGGTTTACAAAGAACTTGAAAAGATGCAGATTAAGTACCTGTTACCCTAAAAGAAATCAGTCAGTAGACAGCCTACAAAAATTAGCTTATTTTTAGTTTGAGATGAATAAGTGGCCACTGGCAGATTCTTAATTTTGCTACTAGATCACAGTAGTAGATGGGCGAAGGAGAAAGAAGTGAGCAGCACTTCTGAGAAGGTTGTAGACTCAGTCCTCTTTTTAAAAAGTTGACCATTGGGGGTAGCTAGGTGGCGCAGTGCATAGAGCACCGGCCATGAAGTCAAGAGGACCTGAGTTCAATTCCGGCCTCAGACTAAACACTTGACACTTAAGTGTGACCCTGGGCAAATCACCTAACCCCAATTACCTTTTAAAAAAATAAAAAAAGAAAAGAAAAAAGTTGACCATTTGAAAATCTGCTTTTTCAAAGCACTTGGAAGCAGAGAAATAATAGGAGAAATCTCTTGGCGGAGAGGTGATGGACAGGAGGTACTGAATGTTTCATACATTTTCAGACATGGCAAAAATGTTTGTATATATTGCTTGACTATGCATATTTGTTACAGTGAAGGTCTTCTGTTGGTGTTGGAGTAATTAGTGAATTGTAATAGAGATACAACATTTAAAAATACATAGAAGGGGGTTGCAAATGGCAAATTCGTTACTACCTTTTAAAATTTTAATATGCACTTGCAAAAGTGTATACATTTGATACAAAGTAAGCTCCTTAAGAGAAGGGATTATTTCTTTTTTTTTTTTTTTTTTTGTCTTTGTATCCCTGGTGCCTGGAACAATGCCTGGCACATAGTATACACCTAATAAATGATCATGTTGTTGTTTTAAACTGTGTAACAAAAGTTCACAATTTTGTAATCCTCTTTTTTGTTCTTTGTATGTCAAATAGTTTCTTTGGGTGAGTAATTACTTTCATAATAAAAAAGAAATAATAGGATGAACTCTGCACTCCTTGTATGTTAAGAATAATATTCTACATTCAGAAAGTGAACTGCTTATTCTTTGGTGCAGCAACTTTGGCAGTAGGTAGATACTTACAGGGAGTGAGACTAGCATATAATTTTAGGACCACAAAATTGACAACCTTTCTGGAAAGCAGTCAGGGTAGTAAGACATGCCATTATTTCCCGTTGTAGAACTTGTGAGCCACAGTAAATGTGCCATACATATAAGTTTCATTATAAAATCACATCTGAAGAGACCTCATCAGACATCTAGGACAACCCAAATACTCAAAAAGAATACCTGCTACAGCATAGCTGACAAATGTTCATGCATTCTCTGAAGACCTCCAGTGAGGGGTAATCCA